AGTCAAGGAAATGTTTATCTATGGAAGACCATTTTCTTTGTTGGTTACTAGGGGTGGGAGGGGAGGGGAGGGAATACTGTTAAGATAGATAGAGAGAAGTTTTGATTTGGGTAAAGAAAAGGGCAATGTACCCAATGTGAGTGATCAATATAATGGCATTGAGGAAGAGAAAGACACAGATAAGTGGGAAGTACAGACAACAAAGATGAACTCTTTTGCGCATATAGTATGGCATGGTCAGTGAAGGCAAACACGGGTATATGGGTGGATAGATGGGTGGACAGGCTGAAATATTAGGTATGTATATGAAGTGGAGCATGCACCCAAGAACATGTATAGGATTGGCAGACAGTGGTCCAATAACTTTATGTGTATGATCTGAATTCCCAGGTGTGTAGTAGAGCTAATAAGGAGTAAGGTTATAGTCACTGCTTGGTCACAGCCAGCTACCCACAGGGACCGAGTAGTTGAACCTGTGGGCTCGGGACCATGGTCGTAGAGGACGTCAAGCTCAACTGGCATAACATACTACACAGAACATTGTTCCACGTCCTACTGTGGCGAGTAGTGACTGAGATCTTAAAAGCTTACAAGCTACCATCTAGATGAAATGATGGGTCTCTCCTCATCCAGAGCAAAGAAGAATGAAGAAAACCAAAACTTGATGGAAACTATTAGTCCTAGCCTCTGGTACACCATCCAATCTGCAGCCTATACGACTATGAGACCAGAAGAAAGAGATGGTGCTCGGCTACTACTGTCAACCACTTGGAAGAGGATCTTTGTAGGAGATCCTGGATAGACAGGGAGAATGATGTGGTACAAAACTCAAAATCATTTGGGGAAAAAAAAAGCGGGAAACAGGTTTGCTGACCCAATGGAGCCTGGTGGAACCACTGAGACCATGGCACACCTGTGGCTTCCAGCCAAACCACAGACAGGCGTATGAGTTGAACATTTACCTTAGGCAGATACACTCCTTGGAGAGAACAAGCATGAGAGAAAGAAGGGCTGCTCAGGAACAGGGTGACAGCTCACGGGGAAGGAGTACACGAAGGGATGG